TTTCAAACAGTGCTGTGGCGACCATCCTTCTCCATGCCTGTGTGCTCCAGGGTGTATGCCCAGTACTGGCGTTTCAGGGTGGCAGAGGTTGCATAGTTTTGTGTCACTAGATGAGGATCAGTTTTCCCAGGTGACTTTACCAGTTCACCAGTCTGCCAGTAGCCAGGGTGGTGGCTGCTGACACTTGAGAGCATCAGACTTTTTAATTTTTATCAGTCTGATGGGTTAGAAGTGGTGTCTTGTTATTTTAATTTTCCTGGTTACTTGTGGGTCCTGGTGGTGTTCCAGTAATGCTTGTTCTCATCCTGTTAATCCTGCCCTTCATTGTGGAGAGATGCCTGATATTGGTGATCCGTATTGGATCTCCTTTTCCCCCTCGATCAGTCTTTTTAGGGTTTTATGAATTTTATCTTTTCAAAGAACCAGTTTCATCTTTGTGGATTTTCTCTATTCTTCTGTTTTCTATTTCATTGATTTCTGCTTTTATCTTTATTTCCTTCATTCTGTTCTATTTGAGTTTAATTTTCTGTTTTTGTAGTGTCTTGAGATGGAAGCTTAGATCATTGGTTTTAAGCCTTCTCTAATATATGTCTTTAAAGCTATGGTGCTTCTGATCACTGCTCTGGTTATACCTCACACATTTGAATACATTGTATTTTCATTATTATTCAGTTAAGATATTTTTTAATATATCACAAGGGAAATTAGAAATATCCCGGGCTATTTGAAAGTATGTCGCTTAATTTCCATATGTTTTGGAAATTTTACTTATCTCTTTGTTATTTAATTTAGCTTTGATTACATTGGTTAGAGAACATGGTATACTCTGTAATTTCAATCTTTGGAAATTTGCTCGGGCCTGCTTTATGGCCTCGTCAGATGGGCTCTTTTGGTGAATGTTCATGAATACTTGCGAAGACTGAATTCTGTAACTGCTGGGTGTACTGTTCTATACATGTCATTAAGGGCGAATGGGTTATTAGCATTTTTCACATCTCTATATCTTTTCTGATTTTTTTGTCTACTTGTTCCATTAACTATTCAAAAATCTCTACTATGATTGTGGATTTGTCTGTTT